GCACTATACAGAAGCCTGATGATGGCAGATGAGATTCTGCTGAAACGTTGCTACAACTTTAAAAGCACAACTACAATGACGTGGGAAAATACCCGAACAAAGCTGAATGCCATACATGTAAGCACCCGCGAAAACTTAAGAAAACACACACACACATACACACACACACACACACACACACAATGCATCTCTCTCCTTTATTCTGAAAATAATATCAGTAGTATGAATTGTCTAGCAGCAGACAATTGTAGAAAATTATAGCAGGTGGTCTTTGACTTAGCCCATTCGTTTCTACTATTGTCTGAAATTGTGATGGTCCTGAACAAAAGGATTTGCAATCTGTACCTGAGGTACGGCCCCTGCAGTGCCCCCATACGTACCTGAACAAAATTTGGATGCTTAGCAATCTGCTTTACCTTACAACTGACCACAGGGATGCTGCAGCTGTCCTCACCTGCCTATCTCCCCTGCATCCCGTCCTTAGGCTACTTCATGCCAGGCTTTTTTTCACACTCTTGAGTCTCTCCTGCCCCATCACATTTCACTCCACTTACTTCTTCCAAAGATTGCCTTTTCCAAGGAGTAGCTAATACATTACACAACCTTCCTATACAGATGCCACATGCCATCCCAAGTACAGGTGCCATTTTAGAAGCAGCTTCAAATTCAATCTGAGAATTGTGACCACTCCCCAAAATTGCCCATTCTGGAATGCCACTTTGAGGCCTTTGTATGGGAAGGCTGTATGGCAAATTAGCTGTTTCTCCTTGGGAAAGATTTTTTTGAAAAAGGTAAACGAAGCAAGACTTGTTGGGGAAGAAGGAAGTCCAAAAGTGTAGGGATCCAGCAAGGTAAGAAATTGTGATTCAGAAGGTCATGGAAGCTCTGAGAGGCCTTAGCTGTGGAGATGTTGCAATGCAGGTCTTTCCTCAGCTGGCAAAACAGGATTGTGGTCATTAAGCCAGATGATCATGTAGTTCCTTGACCACCATGACTAATTATCATAATTTCATAAGTTGAAGACTACATGTATGGATCTCTCATTCTTGAATATACTACTTTCCTCATGTGTCTCTTCTGAATATGAGTGAGTTTACTTTGCTATTGTCAAGTTATTATTTCATCCTCGTATTTATGCAGTATGTAGCACCTTGTCAGATTAACACATTTTATTAAAAGGTATGAGGTTTCATCAATTGTGAACATATACTTCTAATAAAATTTGTTACTCTGAAAAGGGGCTGCTAGATTGCTTCTGATTCTTGGCTATTGTAGATTAAACCAGCATTCCTCATTTTATTTAATACTTTATAAATGTGAACAATGCTATTTGTTGGTGCATTTGAATGCAGCCTGTGATCATTTCAACATACTGATTTGTACATAGAAAAAAAAATCCAGCATTGTTAGCATAAGTTCTTATTTTCTTTTTTAAAAATAATGAATACTTGAAGTGTAATTATATAGTACATTGCTTAAGATTTAGATTATTAATATATAGTGTTAATAAAATTCACATTCATATTACATTACTAATTAACATTAGTAATATTTTTCTATTTTAATATAAGGAGATACTGTGTTTGTGAATATATATTGTTATCTTTCTGTGCATAAAACGGTTAGAAAATTGGCTCAGACTTAGGAAACCCTGGTCATTAGTTAATTTGGGTGTGTCCTACTTGGCTATCTGTTACTGCAGCTTCTAAGATGAGAAAGAAGTTGCATTCACAAAAACATGTATAGTATGGGAGAAGAATGAATGCTTTTATTGTAATATTATATAGCTACAGTTCAGTTCCATTGGCTACAACATCTAAATTTTGGATGTGGCCTTTGGAGCTCATCTTTTATTTGCTATTGAGTTGAAAGGGGAAATTATCAGTTCAGTTTCTGTTCTGGTTCTGCTTTCTTTTCTACATCCATTCAGAGGGCAAGTACAGTTCTGTATAAATAAAAATAATAATTAAAAAATGCAAAATCTTGCAGGAATAGTCCCAGTTTGTAAAAAAAGGTATTAGAAAATTGACTAGTTACTTCTTATGCCCTAAATCTAAGATTAAAGATTAATAATACACTGGAGTGTGTGTGTGTGTGTGTATGATTTCTACTAATAGGTATGAATGAGGAAGAATGCATTCATAACATTGTATTCTCTGACATTTTCACATGTAGTAATATATGGTCTAAATTCAGTAGATTTCATCAATGGTAGGAAACGGAGCCTCTTTGCTGATAATTAATTTTATCTCTGTATTTTGTTAGCAAGTTTCTGTTAACAAATGAAAAGTAATTATACCACAACTAATGATAATATTGTATCAAAAAAGTGTGAAATCTTGCTGGTTTGTAGGAAAAACATATTAGAAAATTAATATTTATTTCTTATGCCCCACAATTTAAGGTTGAAGATTAAGAATACATTGAAATATGTTGGATGAGGATACAGGGATCGTAGAAGAATGGTTATCAGAATTCAAGGTAATCTGTGATTCTTTACTTATAAGAAAATTTGAAACTAAAGAAGTGAATTATAAAATATTTTTTTCTTAGAGATTGTAATATTAAATTTTAGAATTAATACTAATATACTTTCTAAGAGTGATAATAGAAGAGGGCCATTGCCCTCCTGCCAATGTTTGTAAGATTTTTTAATGTACCTGCTTGATCAGTGTTTGATATAGAGGTTAATTTAACAGATTATTTAAAAATTGGAATGGTATATATTTTTATTAAACTATATATCTTAAATGATTTTTGTTAGACAGTACCAGAAACATCTATAGCAAGTTATGCTAAAAATTTGAAAGACAAGATTTCCTTGGTTTCATCTCTATATAAAGTTATTCAAGATCTACAAAATGAGGTAAGTAGTTATTACTTATTGGAGTTGGGGTGAACATTGAATAAATTGCACAGTAACATGATGACAAGAACTAAAAAATAGAATAGAATATTTCTATAATAAAAAATATTCTGTTTCGCTTTTCAAAGTACTCTTTTTAGATTTTAAAATGTTTTGTTGATATTCTATACAGACATGAAAATTTGAAACTTAATTTCTAAATGATGTTCTTTTTTCTTGAGCTTTTGTAAAGTTGAATATAACTATAATGTGCATTGTTTCAAAAAAAGTAAAATCTTCAGGAAGGATGACACTTATTACAATTTTAAGCAATGAGGATTCAGATCCATCTCTTGCTATGTTCCTAGTAAAAAGGGTCATCCCCCCATCTTCTATGCAAAGTTTACATCTGTTAAATAAGATAAACAAATGAGGCTTACTAAATACTGGGAATCAATATAATACTTAACAAATGTAATACTAAACATTTGAAGTAGTGAGAAAATGCATCTTACAGTGTCAAATGTAAACATAGTCAAATGTTTAATGCTTGTTTTTCCTTTCAGTTGCTGGAACCAGTCTGTCACCAGTTATTTGAATTTTATCGCAGTGGTGAGGAACTTCTTCTGCAGTTCACACTTCAGTTTCTTCCAGAATTGATATGGTGTTATCTTGCTGTTTCTGCTAGTAAAGATCTACAAAGCAGTGGCTGTATAGAAGCACTTTTACTAGGAGTTTACAATTTGGTTTGTATCTAGACTTAGAATTCATTCTTTCAACAATTTATATGTTACTAAATCCCCCCCAAAAGGCTCTTGATGTCATTAAATTTCGTTGGAATGGATAGTATCAAAATTTTGATTATTAACATTCTTTGTGGTACATGGTTACCCCTAAGATTTTCTGATCATGGTAGAATAGTTCATATGTGAAGTTGTTGAATATGCTTATGAGATGTAAACTTGAGAATGTTTGTATAAGAAAATGTGCTACATTCTGGAATGAATGAGTCTGTACATAGCTTTTTGCCTTTTTTAAATTTTGCAGACTTTTTTTCCCAATAATTATTTTGGTCATTTGAAAAAAAGAGATCAAAGGAAAATTGGATATTTATGGGCACACAATATATAGGATAGGATATACATTTTTTGCTTGCTTTAGAAATAGAGGAGGACTCCCAAGTATATAGAATGTGTCTTTTTGCTTCAATGTGAGAAACAGGGTATGAATGAAGATGGGGATATATAAATGATTTCTACTAATAGATATGAATGAGGAGAAATGGATTCATACCATTGTATCTTCTGACATTTTCTTTTGCTGCAGTATATGGTATAAATTCATTTCATTTTCAAAGTAGTAGGAGACAGATCCTCTTTGCTGGTAATTAATTTTATCTCTGTACTTTGTTATCAAGCTTGTGTTGATAAACAAAAAGTGATGTTGTGCTGATAAACAAAAAAATGATAATATTGTATATTGTATATTATCATTAGTAGTAGTATAATTTTTGCTTATTGTATATGATGCTGTATATGATGCTGTCTATGATAATGTCCTGAAAACACCCATGAGAACAGTGTTAAAGGTATTCAATTTTTTATCTGTAATATTTGAGGATACTGGTGAGTATTTAAGCTGCTGGCACACATAAAGTTTCAATGTGTAATGTTTTGATTCTGTATAAATAAGGAAATTTAACTGCTGTTTCAAAAATTTTAGTTGCATTTAGAACAGCATCATTATTAATATAAGAGCAATCTTGAAACTTTCATTGGGCTATATGCTTTCTTGGGCCAGAAGGAATTTTATCAAATGCATGAAGTTATTTTCTGTGTAGTAATATATATCTAGAAAGGAAAACAAGTTCTAATAAAGTCTAAAAGTTCAAGAGATAATTGCATTAAATGCTAGGCAGAACACAGTAAATAGTTCCTGGAGCAGTGAGTTTAATTAATAAGTGCTAAATAGGCAGAGCAAAATCAATAATGCCACTAAAAAAACCTAAAGAGCATTTTATTAGAATATACTAATAATCTAATGCATTTAAATACCTTTTTAAATGTGTGAATGGTCTCTGCAATGATCTTACATATATACTGCTTTCAAAAACATTTAAAAGTAATAATCTCTAATTTTAAGTGATATATCGTAGCATTTTAATAGGTTTTTTTAAATAAATAAAGTAAAAACATGCATTATAGCTACTCTCACTTTCATATTATTTCACACAATTGCCATCTTATCATTTTTAACAATTTCAAAGTAACAAAATATTATACTTGACTCAAAGGGCGCATGGTAGTTAAATGGTTTGGAGGTAAAAAAATAAGATTTCACAGTTACTCTGTGAAGATGAGCATTACATAAATGTGATTAAATAAATAAGACATGGTTAGATTTTGCCACAAATAAAGTTATATATGTAATTATAGACAATGTATAAATTTCCATCTTTGCTTATAATAAATATTATGGCATGATTTGGGAAAAATGTTCTGCTTTATGTTTGTTGATTTTATGAAACACAAATGAATAACCTGATTATTCTCCTCATAGGAAATAGTTGACAAACAAGGGAACAGTAGGATCCTAAGCTTTACAATTCCATCTTTATCTAAACCTTCAGTATATCATGAAGTAAGTTTTAAAAGTATTCTCATTTTATGTGATGTTTATAGCTTTGTTTTAGTCTCCCTTAAAAGAATATAATCTGGCCTTTTGACATTTAAATTAGTACTGGGCATTCTTTGGCTGCATTTACACCAGGGGTGTCCAACCTTGGCAACTTTAAGACTTTAAGACAAAGCTGGCTGAGGAATTCTGGGAGTTGAAGTCCACAAGTCTTAAAATTGTCAAGGTTGGACACCCCTGATTTACATTTTCAGGAAAGAATCAAAAGTAGGCTGGCCATATCACAGAGGTCATTTTAAAATGTGGGGACTTACACTATACTTTCCATTTTTAGTTGGTTAGAGGGACAAATTCTTTCTGAGGCTAGGTTCTAGAACTTCTGCTGCTAAACAATTCAGTCGTTCAATGAGTCATCATGTGACTGCACCTGATTTTATAACCTTTTTTGCTATGGTTCCTAACTGAGTCCAGCTTCCCCTATTGACTTTCTTGTTTGAAGCCTCCTGAAAAAGTCACAAATGGCAATCATGTGATCTCAGGATGCTACAGCTATTTTAAATACATGCCAGTGGCCAAGCACCTGAATGATGATCATGTGGCTGTGGCGATATTGCAAGTTGTTGTAGGTTTTTTATTATTTCCTGCTCTAAAATGTTTCAGTTTCAGACCCCACCCTTCACTTTTTGTTATTCCGCAGCCTGATTCTACAGTTGTTGAAGTTCATTTTTTCTCATTGATCTATACTCAGTAGCTCATAATGACAGTGAAAACAGAATGTTAGAAATGTCTAAAAATTTAATAAATTTATTAAAAAGAAAATAACCTGAAAAGTCTCATTGGCATTAGACCCTTAGGGTATTCAGACTCTCTACTCAGCATAATATTGAAGCACCTTTGACAGCAATTACAGCCGTAAATCTTTTTGCGTAAGATTCACCAAGCTTTGCACACTTGGATTGGGGGATTTTCTACTGTTCTTCCTAGCAAATCCTCTCAAGCTCAGTCAGGTTGGATGGGGGACCCCATTGGGGGACAACCATTTTCAGGTCCCTCCAGAGATGTTCAATAGGATTGAAGTCAGGGCTCTGGCTAGACCACTCTAGGACATTCACAGAGTTGCCCCTAAGCCATTCCTGTATTGTCTTGGCTGTGTGCTTAGGATGGTTGTCATATTGGAAAGTGAACCTTCGATCCAGTCTGAAGTCCTCAGCTCTTTGGAACAGGTTTTCACTGAGGATATCCTTCTACTTCATTCAGCTTTCTCTGAACCCTGACCTGTCTCCCAGGCCCTGCTGCTGAAAAAACACCCCACAGCCACCACACTTTGCTGTTGGGATGTTATTGGGCAGATGATAAGCAGTGCCTGGTTTCCTCCAGACATAGAATAATCGAGGCCAAACAGTTCAATCTTTGTTTCATCAGACCAGAGAATCCTCATGAGAGTCCTTCACATGCTTTTTTGCAAACTCCAAGTGGGCTTTCATTTGTTTTGCACCGAGGAGAGGCTTCCATCTAGCTATTCTGCCATAAAGTCCAGATTGGTGGAGGGCTGCAATGATGGTTGTCCTTCTAGGACTCTGTCCCATTTTCACACAGGATCTCTGGACTGAGTCAGAGTGATTGTTGGGTTCTTGGTCACATCTCTTACTAAGGCCCTTCTCATCTGATTGCTCAATTTAACCAGGCATCTCTTGGAAGAGTCCTGATTGTGCCAAACTTCTTCCATTTGAGAATTATGGAGACCACTGTGCTTTTAGTCTTCAATGTTGCAGAAGTTTTATTATAGCTTTCCCTAAATCTCTGCAAATTTTAAGTTTTGTTGCAAAGAATCTGAGTAATTAAGCCAATGTAATATTTCATTTTTTTGTTTTTTTATAAATGTACAGACCTTTCTAAAATTCTGTTTTCACTTTGTCATTATGGAGTACTGAGTATAGATTGATGAAAAAAGTGAATTTCAACAACTGTAGAATTTCAGGCTGCAGCATAATAAAATTGAGAAAAGTGAAGGGGATCTGTATACTTTTTGAACGCACTGTATATTAAATATGGAAAACATTTTGAATGATTTATCTCGATCTGATTTTTTCACATCTCAAAAGACCAGGCATTTTAACAGTGATGATAGATTTTTTTTATATCCACTGTGTTCACTGAAATTAAATATACATTGATAATTTATTATTTACCAAGATTTAAAAAAATCTATATCCACATTACTTCCCAGAAAAATATTTGTAGTGTATGGGCAAATATATTCAATATTTAATATTGCTAATATAGTTAAATATATTTAATATAGTTAAGGCAGGGCAGATTTGAATAAAATATTTTTAGAAAACAACTTTGAAGGTATTAGAAAGCTATTTGTTGTTTTATTAAGTTTTCATCACTGATATTTCCATGCTTTGAAATATGATCAATTAAAATAAAGATATACAGTAATTTTTGCTTTATTGGGAAAATAAACAAAGATATAATAAAAATGAATAACTAAATGGATATTATCCAAAATGGCAATGCACACCAATTTAATTTCAACAAAATGCTAAAAAGGTTCAGTTAATACAATTTCAGAGGGCTATATACTATCTATGGCAGGGGTCGCCAAACTTTTGGACCTCAGGGACCACCAAACACATAATTTTAAATCCCGTGGACCAGAGACTCTGGGAGAATCCCAGAAAAAGTCTGCAAGAAAATTCCCCACCCCGTTTTCCTACCGATCGATCATTCTTTATTTGGGATCACAGGATACCATATCCAGCTCTGTTCTTGGTGGGGTGGGGGAGAGAGAGAGAGAGAGAATGACAGAGACTTTTGGCTTCATGCGAGGAAAGCAGCAGAAGTCTTTCTTTCTCTCCCCCAAACTCTGCCAGAAATTGTGAGACTTGTTGTGCCGATGCAGCCTCTTGGAGAAGGATGCCTTGCAGGGTCTCAAAGATTCATTTCTGGCCGAGTTTGGTGAAGAGAAAGAAAAACTTTTGCTGCTTTCCTTGCATGCAGCCAAAAGCAGAAGAAGAAAGAAGCGGAAAGAAGCAGCCCGGTGACCAGGCAAGGTGTGTGGGATGAGTGGTCCAAGCTTCCCCCCTCCAGCCTTTCCCACCTCCCTTCACTACATTGTGTTGTTTGCAATGCAAGCGACGCAAGCCTTGTGTTCCCATGGGCCAGGTGGGCGGCGCAGCCTTGTGTTCCTGCGCAGCCTGGATTAATTGCTTTGGGGGATTCTTTGCGGGTGACATTTCTCTGTGGATCATCAAAATTTTCTCGCAGAGCACCAGTGGTCCCAGGTCCACTGGTTGGCGACCACTGATCTATGGCATTTATTTATTTATTATTTCTTGCCTTTATTATTTTTATAAATATCTGGGGGTGGCAACATAATATTCCTTCCCTTCCTATTTTCCCCACAACAACTGTGAAATGAATTGGAATTACTGACCTAAAGTCATAGATGTTAAACTGCTTTCTGCTTTCTTTTTTAAAAATTACTAATACTGTCTTTAATGATGTATTGAAAAAAAAACTATTTTGTTTAGCCTTCCAGTATTGGTTCAATGGCTCTTACTGAGGGTGCTTTATCTCAACACGGCTTATCCAGGGTTGTATATAGTGGACCTCATATGCAGAGAGAAATGTTGACAGCACAAAACAGGTAAAATGCATGATGCTGTTTTCAACTATAGAGATTAAAGAAGTAATCTGGGCATTTCCAAATTATCCTTTTCTCAAAAATTTATATTTAACAATTACAGTTTTTTTTTAATTGATTGACCAATGAAGAGGAAATGTTTTGTTTGCATGATTAATTATACTCTTTCAATTAACCATAATCCTTGTTTTATAGATTTGAAGTATTGACATTCCTTTTACTACGGTACAATGCTGCCTTAAGCTATATGCCTGCGGTTTCTCTTCAGTCTTTATGTCAAATCTGTTCAAGGTAATCTTTTTCTGAAGAGATTGATAATAATAAACTAATGCTATAATTATATAAGAATGTATTTCACTAAAAAACAAAAACTTATGTTGGAGAGGAAAAAAAGGCAATTTTGACATAACTGCAATTTACCAAATCTCTCTTAAATAGAAATCAGAATTCAGATCTTCCCAGAGACTTTTTAAATCCATGTATGTATTAATTACATTTTATTGCTTCATGAAAAATATTAATATTCAGTGATCCAGGATTTATAGTAATTTGTGTAATTTGTTACACAAAGCCCTGTTTACTTCCTCAAGTCACCAGGTAAAACACATACCAGACCACATTACTAGATCATATCCCAGGAACTCAGCCTGTCTGCTCAGTCAGAGCAGAAAAGTAGAGAGGAAGAGATTTCAAAAGACTGCTGTAAGCTATTTGTGTAGCAGCTCCAAGTCCCAGGCTCCTTGCGCCATTATATTGTTTTAGTGTGTAGAACAAATAACTTACTCTCTTGCAATCCTTTTCTCTCCAATCTCCCTCCTCTGAGAGAACTTCATAAATTGGCAATAGTTATTTTCTAAGCACTTTTGTAACTTTGAAAAGTTGCAGAACAAATATTCAGGAAGCAAGGATAGTCTATTTTGACAAAAAAAAAAGTTTACTTATTGGTTTGGATCATCTTGAAGGATAATGAGCCCATCAGGAATTACCTACTCGAGAGAATCTAGTATTTTGGAAGCGCAATATTGGGCAATCTACTAATTTTATTTTGGAGATGGAGGATATACTACTATATGTAAAGCTTCTTTTCACTTTGGAAATTTTTTCCCCCAACTGTCATGATAGTGATATAAAATATGTTTCTAAACTTCATCACTAGTATTTAAAAGATCCTGTGTTATGCTCCTAAATAGTATATGCACTTTGCTGACCCACCTGTTTGGCCCATAGAAAAATTACTTGTTTCTTGATTGTTTTGGGAATAGTACTTTCTCACTTTGAAATCCATAATATTTTAAAGTAGTATTGGACAGTGTAATATAGCAAGTTTAAAATAGTAATGGTAATTTTAATATTTGTATTTCTTTTAGAATCTGTGTTTGTGGGTACCCTCGTCAACAAGTACGAAAATATAGAGGCATAAACAGCAGAATTCCAGTCTCCTCTGAATTCATGGTTCAAATGTTAACAGGGATTTATTATGCTTTGTAAGTTCAGTAAATGTATGTCTTGTATATATATGTGATAGTGAATTTTAGAGCACGTTATATATAAAATACAAAATGGAATGCTTATTTACATGATAGCAGAGGCAGAATTTAGAGCTCTCACAGTTGACATTCTCAGGTAAGAATTTTTCAACTTTCTTGCTATTGTTTTTATAAACTGTCCAAAGTGACTTCCTGAATGGCAGCTGATTTTGGCAGCTGATTTTGGCCCCACAAAATGAAAAAAAAAACCTGCTTATGATTTCTGTTAAGTAAAACTATAACAGACATGTAGTTTCATAAGGGAAAAACTGCAAAATCTATACTAATCCTGATTAGGACCAATCAGATGTTTAAAAACATTCTATAGACTACCCTTCCTCTCCCTAAAATTCTGGTTTCACATGGGACAGTGGTGGGAATGGAGCTGACAGAGCCACTTGTTAAAAATTTATCAGCAAACCACAATATGGACATGGCAGTGATTAAATATCCTACACCCATAGGCTGGTGATTCTGAAATTATTACAGATAATTCTCATTTAACAACCATTGATCATTTGAAGTTATAATAGTGCTGAAAGAATTGTTCTTTTGCCTGGTCCAATTTGAAGTAATGGCCCCCATGGTAATGTGACCAAAATTTGAATGATTGGCAGTTTGCTCATACTTAGGATCACAGAAGTGCTCAACTCCACCCACCTATCCCCAATTCTTAGCCAACATAAACTTGTCTACCTGCATTGAAATCAACACTGGGTAAAATGAAAATATATACATATTACATGATAGAAACATGCCAAATAAATATGCCAAATCTTGAATTTAATGTAGTCCTATAGTTTTTAAATGTCCAAATTTCTTTTATAGATAGCATTCTGTTTGAAAATTATCTAATCTAAGCTTCTAATGAAGAATTTTCGTGAATTCCTGGTGGTTAAGATGTTGCTATTTTCCTGGTTAGGAAAACATTGAGAAGGCAAATTTGCATTCTGGTACAATAATAGTCATGATAGAAACATCGTAATTGAGATACAGCATATGATTGTATTTTAAAAGTAGCAGAACCTCATAACTGCTTTGAAGTAGTGATGTAGAGATGATATTAATTTTTTCCATGCATAAATTTTATCAATGTAGTCCAATCACTTCTATGAGGTATGTCTGTCTGTCTGTCTGTCTCTCCAATATGTTTGTGTATGTGCATGAATATCCATATACAACATAAATATGAAATATAGTCATATATATGAAATATGAAATTATATATATGTGTGTGTGCGCGTGTGTGTGTATGTGCGTGTGTGTGTGTGCGTGTGTGTGTGTGTGACAAGCTAATAACTTTTGGGAGAAGGTGATGGGTTTAGACTGGAAATGTAGAGAAAGAGTTAAAGCATGAATATCCATAAAGAACAAGCCATTTAATAGTTTCAGCTAATTCTCAGTTCAGAGCCACAATTGAATCCAACATTTCTGTTAGTAAACAAGGCAGTGTTTAGATATATTTTCTCCCTTTTATAATCTTTTTTGCCACAATTGTTAAGCAAATCATTGTAGCTATTAAGCGAATCATGCAGTCTTAAAGTGAACCTGGCATCCCCCATTGACTTCACTTTCTAGAAGTTGGTTGGGAAAATAAAAAATGGTGTTCACATAAAGCTGGGACAGTGCAACTGTCATAAATATTTTCCAGTTGCCAAGAACTAGTCATGTCACTTTTTTTCAGTGCTGTTGTAACTTTGAATGATTCCTAAATAAATAGTTGAAAGTTGAGGACTACTGTATCTCCAAAGACAAATTTGGGGAAAACAGATACAACAAGCCATTTAATAGTTTCATAATTAACAGATTGAAAATGTTAGAGATTTTAATTACATCAATGCTTTATCCCATCTCACTTGATACTTGCTAATATGTGTGTATAAGAAGGATTAATTTTTTTATAGGTATTAGGATTTTACAGTGTTTGCCATGTGGCTTTAAAAAGAGTAACTTAAAAATCCATTCAGTGAGTTGAATTCATGACCACCTTGAAATACAGACCAGGGGTGGATGTCAAATGGGTGGAATTTCATCATGCATGTTGCAAGAAATTTTCAGGCTTTCCTCTGGTTTCAATAGAGTTGCAACATTTTATCTTTTTTGTTTTTTTCCTGTATTATTATACTTAAGATATCCACTACTGCAATACTGTTCTTTACTGATAATAACAGGAAACAAAGCTACTGAATTTGAATAGTATGGTTAGGGATCGTCTTGGGCATAAAAAAAGAGTATTGAGCAACAAATCATTGAAATCTTATTTGTTTATAAAATACTACCTTTAAGCACAATGAAACATCATCTTCTTGTTCCATCATAATGACTGGTCCATTTTGAATTCATTAAAATAGACCAGAATGTTATAACAAAATATATAAAGAATCAATTGCTAATCTGATTTTCCAAAATACTATAGCAGTTGCAATATATATATTTCTTACCTAAGATTACAGAAGGGAATAAAATAAGATGACCTAGACATAGTTATTGGCTAGAAATAAAATATATTCTATAATCATTGAAATATTTCCTAATATTACTAATTTTTCTTGAATGTATGGTTTTTGTATTTGTAATATTATAAACCATTTACTAAATATCTGTTCATGACTAATATGCATGGCTATGATAATGAAAGAATGATCATACTATATTATAACATGCAGTCAGTTTCATTTTTTGGCTTAACATTCTAGTTATAATGGAGAATGGGATCTGGCTCGTAAAGCAATGGATGATGTTTTATACAGAGCACAATTGGAGTTATATCCAGAACCACTATTGGTAGGTGTTTTGTGTCAAAATTATTCTTCTTTAGGTTTTAAATTTATTTTGAATAATTTTGTAGTTTTAACTTACATAATTAAAGTAGCTTACAAAAATATAAAATGTTTATTTCATCATTATCATATCATCATCATCATAAAATCTTTATTCAGTCACAGTCCAGCTAAAATGCTTAAAATAATTGAAAAAAAAAGCAAAGTCTCTGAAAATCATATTCTCATATATTGTGTGGCAGTTATAGAATTCTGTAACAAGAAACAAAAACTAACAAAAACAGATTATTGACAGGTTGAATTGTTTTTGTAATAAAATATTTATGTAGTGGAAAAATACAAGAACAAAATGGATATCCTAAGATTATGGAGTTTTGTAACAGACATCACTATCTGATTGTTTCTTGACTTGCATTATCACTGTCAGAAAATCTAATGCACCACAATGTGTAAAGTACTTTTCCTAAAGATTTCAGTGGACAGGGTCTTTGTGCAGGAGCTCCCAGTAATTTAATAATACTGATTGTGTGCTGTAGAGCAAAGGTCCCCAACTCCCAGGCCATGAACCAATCCATGGCCTATTAGAAACCAAACTATGCAATTGGAGGTGAGTGACACCAAGTAAGCAAAGCCTTATCTGTATTTGCAGCAATTGGTCTTGAATTGACTAGAAGGTAACATTGAAAGTTTAGTATCCTGATTCTGTGCTGTACAGGTAGCCTTTTACTTAAGAGCAGTCACTTAGCAATTGTTCAGAATTACCAGGAGCATTTCCTCAGGAGCATTTCCAACCTAGTTTTGAAATTCTGATGTCCATCCCTTTCCCACGTCACAGGATTACATTTTCATTATATTATTATAATTCCTCTTTTTAACAAAGGTACATGAAATAAACTTGATAGTAATAGTCCAATCAATAATGTATTGAGCAATACCTGCAAACTCTGACAGGCACTCTGATTGAAATTTTCACCTTGAATAGAAAATGAATCAGTTTTAGGTGACGAACAAATTGTGTTTGTTTACTATTACATTATCAAGATACATTATCAAGATTGTGAAAAAAACTAAAAAAGAATAGAAACTTAGTGTTGGCATCCTCTCTCTGTGATGAATTCTTGGATTTTAGAAATGCTGTTGACTCTACAGCTAATTCTCAATTCAGAGCCACAATTGAACCCAACATTTCTGTTAGTAAACAAGGCAGTGTTTAGATATATTTTTCTCCATTTTATGATCTTTTTTGCCACAATTGTTAAGCAAATCATTGTAGCTATTAAGTGAATCATGCGGTCATCCCCACTGACTTCACTTTCTAGAAGTTGGTTGGGAAAGTCAAAAATGGTGTTCACATAAACCCAGGACAGTGCAACTATCATAAATATTTTCCAGTTGCCAAGAACTAGTCATAAGTCATTTTTTTCCATGCTGTTATAACTTTGAATGATTACTAAATAAATAGTTAAAGTTGAGGGCTACTGGTATCTCCAAAGACTAATTTGGGGCAAACAGATATTGATAAATGATAAATTTATCAAACATTGATAAATGTTTTTTTCATTTATCAACACATTCCACGATAGCACTTGTGTAAGAGTTAAATGTAATCTGAATAGGATAGATTACAATACCTATGCAAAAGATTGTAAGACAAGTTTATATTTTAACATTTAACTTTTCAGTCTTACTTTTCAATCTTAGTTCAAATTCTACCACTTAAAGTAGCTGATTTTTGCACAATGTTGGAAACAGCCTCATGTTCCATCAGAGGGGATGATTATTCAAAAAATTTCAAGTTGTGCAGAAATGGACAAATTAACCTTGGCATTAAAAAATAAAGACACTTTAATATATTAGAACAGCTGGAACTGCTGGTACAAATGGATAGACCAAAGATAGATTTCACACTAAAAGGCAAAAGAGGATAGGATAGAACCGTAGTAGTGATATACAGATATATGTAAGGATTAAGTGTGTATATGGCATAAAATAAGGATAAAAAGGAGGTCTTCCCAAACTGTTGAAGATGAAAATGTTTTTAATTGTTTTCTATTTTTTTCTTTTTCTTCTTCCTTTCTTCTTTTCCTTTTCTCTCTTACATTTATGTATGTGTTGTTGGTCTGTTTTAATTGTAAAATCAATAAAAATTATTTTTAAAAAATAAAATAAAGTAGCTGATTTAAATACTCCAGTATTATTGCATGCAATTGTAATGCTGCTTTCAATAATGTTTTTTTCACTTTAGGAAGGATTTAAGTGCATAAGCCCATCACTTTAATGGATAACACTTAGTAAATTAACAAGACTTAAGACCATAAAGGCAAAATGATACAGAACTGGGTCCTTATTATAATTACAGAGTGCTGAAATCTAGATTTCTCTGAGCAATTTGGGATTTCTGAGATATGTGCATCAAAAAAACCTTCATGATTAGAATCTTGAATGCTGAAAGCTGAAAGCAAAGCAGTTCTGCAGGCAGATACAGGCATATTCAACACAGTGCTTTGCTCTTGTGGCTTATGAAAATGTATTTTTATATTGCAATATTCATACACATACTGTAGTTTAAGTGTATCATTTCAATTCTATAAAAATTCCCATGCTATATTTTTATCAGATAGTTGGAGTGTATTCCTGTTTTTTTTTTTAACCTTCAAGTCCATTTTAACTCTTTGCAATTGTCTGGACAAATCCATGCAGTTTTCTTGACAACATTTTTAGAAACAGTTTGCCATTGCCTTCTTTCTAAGGCTAAGAGAGCATACTTGGTTTAAAGCATCTGGTGGCTTCACTATGGCTAAGGCAGGACTGGATTCATGTGTTGGAGTGCAATAACCATGAACACAGCAGGCACCTGTAACTTCAACCAATTTTCCCAATGTCTTAAAGACAGTTGTAGGTAGATGTTGTGTTCATATCATTGTTCTGCATAGTCCAGACACATTTTTGTCTTAAAAATAGTTGCTCTGCACAGTCCTACTATATATATCTGCAACATTATATTAATCGGAAACCATAAATATTCCATACTACAGAGAACAGCAATTTTTAGCAGGGTCCTTGAGCACCAAGAGGAAGTCTCACTAGTGAGAAAGCAACAATCTGTTTCTACTAGATTGTTCATCAAGTAACTGGCAGAAAATGCTTTTCTGGACTGCATGCAGATACATATTTCCATCCTATAGTCCAAAGCACTGCTTCATTATTTTTCTTAGTCTCAAAGATTTCAGCTACTGAAAAAATGATTGCACAGAGAAAATAAATTGTCAGGAAAAAGAAATCTATACTCTGTTCAGTGGGTGGCTTAAAAAAAGATGAGGAAATGTAATCATTAATGGGATTTGGCAATAGCTTTTAAAGCAAATGTTTTCTGATTGAAGTCTTTAATCATCTGAACTAAAGCTGTAATTGTGAACAGATGGAAGTCAAATTACTACCTCTCTTGATTTTTGTCATATCTGATGCAATTTTTGATGTATGATAAATATTGTTTCAATTCAAAAGCCATGTTAATGTGACAATCTCACCCACATTTTGTTTAATTATTGTTATTTTCTTTAGGTAGCTAATGCAATAAAAGCTTCATTGCCTCAAGGTGCCATAAAATCTAACAAAGAAGGTACTAAATGTATTCAGGTTGAAATTACTCCTACAGCATCTAGGATATCAAGAAATGCTGTGACCAGTATGTCTATTCGGGGCCATAGATGGAAAAGGCATGGTAAGAATTTTGTTTCTAAAAATATTAATAAAACCATAAAATATTAGTTATACCATAACAGGAATTGATATTCCAAAATTGATATATCATGATTATTTAAAAATTGATATTCTTAATTATACTAATAAAAGATCCCATACATAGTACAAAAAGGCCAAATAACTTTTTTGTTATTTTATTTCTCTAACATAAAGAGATTTTATGTCTTTTTTGTTTTCATTAGCATAAGAAACCAAGCAATGCTTATTTTACAGTTCATCATACATTATTTGTCAATTAATGTTATAATTATATTAAAATTCTTTTGATTTCAAATTTATCATTGTTTCAAAGTAATTATTGACATGATTGATTGATCATGTTATTTTTCTTAATCTGACATAAATTACAGCAGTGTTTATAAGTTTGTTGCCATTAATGAAAGTTTTATACTGATTATTGCAGAGTGGTTTTGTTTTTCATGTACTATGCCTTATACATTATAGATATAGCAAACATAGTTGGAACTGCTAAGGTATTTCTATCTTTTGATACACATTCAGCACTAGAGAATAGATTCATAAATCCAATAATGATTTTGTGGCTTTAAGGTTAGATGCAGAATAGATAGTAATATTAGTTTATTTGAACACAAAGAAGATATAATTTACTAAATAAACTATAGCAGAGTTCTTTTCCTATATTTTTGATTAGTGATAGCAATAGTTAGTTTCTCATTGCTACCTTGTTAAGAGCTTATAACGGAGATACTGATATATTACTTCAAATCAATAACTAACACAGAGTTTTGTTTTTGTCTAGCTAATGTAGTTTCCAATATTTTATATAAGTATAAATATATTGGTAATCCAGAAAAGATACATATCTTGCACTTTTCACACACTACTTTTACTACTGTTACCTTTCTGCAGGAGTCATGCTTGATGATACAGGTGCTGAAGTTCAAGAGGCAATGGTTAGGACAAATGTTTGCTGCAGCAGATAACAAACAATAAGGCAAGAGGCTTGATAGTATTAGTAAAGCAACTGACTGCAATAAAGATGAAATGTTATTCTATTAAGAAGAAGGATAATTTGAGAGGTATGAAAGCATTGCTGCAGATCCTTAAGTATCCAATATATTGGATACTCTTCCCTTCAGGAAAATAATTTCATAAGGTAACAAAATGAAGAGGAAATAAAGTACCATTTGGCTCCTGGTGGAGACTTTGAGGATTATTTTATAGATAAATTTCCCATCAAATTACTTTAATTTATTACAACTATATGTAAGAGCTTCTACATCTAATTACTTCTGGTGGAAAGGAGCCTGCATCCGACAGGTTATTATTAGAACCTGACTTGTTAGGAAAACAAGTCTAGAAGTTTAGATTAGTTTAGTTAAACAAATATTGACTTGTTCAATGTTCTGTTGGAAGAACAATAGTGGGAACAATAGAAAAATGTGTGCCAGAATATTTGTTTGATTATTGTATGACTGAATTTTGAATATTGTTAATTATCTGTGATATGTGAAACAGAATATGGAAAGAAATGCGGAGACATCTTTGTAAAATGTTGATTGATAATTTTGCTTCAAGATAAATTATTTCCATATTTAGTATAATTATTTATTTATTAGTTTGAAAGGGGTGACGTCTTTTTGCTTTTTCAATATTGCTACCTCAGTTTTTGAAGTTGATTAGAATTCTTTGGATTGCATATCCCTTAAGATCTGGACTAAAAAGACTGGATCGCCTATTGCAGCTCAATATGCTATGCAATTGTGAGATGGAACTATTCATTGAAATATATCATTGAGATCCAGACAAAATAACAAGTATGTTTAATCTTCATGACCTTGTGGAGAAATTATATTTTGAGAAAATAATAGTTTTCTGCTGTTTTCAGAAGTATGTTTCATGCTCTGTCTTATTCAAAAGTACTGGTTTCTATTTTTTAGTCAATTGGTTACACATAGGCCTAATTCAGAATTAGAAAGAATACTAGATTTGGTGTTTATTTTTCCTTCTGGATTATAATAGAATATGTAGGAGGCTTAATTTTTTGTGTCTATAATGCAGTGGCTGGACATTCACATACTATAAGATTAATTCACATCTTGGTAAATTGAACAGAACTCTTCAATTATCTAAAATAGATGCTTTGCCTTAAACTGTGGTACTATGGGTTTCCGGTTTGGGTTTCTTCAGCGACAGACCGAAATCTGTGATCGTGCACGGTTTTGATCTGTGCTCGCCACTGGAGCACCCCGATCCTTTGGATTCGGGGCTGAAGGCACCCCGTAGAGGTGGTAAAGAATGGGGAGATTGCTAGCTGAGTGGAGGGGAACCGCATCTCTCCTCCTTGGCTGGTCTAAACTCCCTTTTCCGAAGGCAGTTGCAGCAGTGGTCAGAAATGGCCACCTCAAAGAAGAACCTGACTGGATAAGATTGTGCAGGTGGAAGACAAAGAGGAAAGCAGGACAGACCAGGCTAAACAACAGAGAACATCTAAACAAGGTACCCTGAATCTAAAAGTACTTAGAGGGATACTTCTGAAAGAAGACTTTTAAGCAGCAAAGGAGAGAGAAAAGGAAGTTAAAAACCCTTTTTTACCTATATATTGACAATTGCAAATGGTATGGAAAGAAATCTATATTAATTTACTTTGACACTAATAGGCAACTTTAAGCTGAAATTTAAGTGTCAAAAGGAGAATAAAGATTTTTTCTTTGGTCATTTTAAAGTCCTAAAAAGGAGAAGAGTGGAGGCAAAAGGGTGGAATTTGGAATAATGAAAAATGGAGTGCCACCTGGAAAAATAAAGAGGATTAACAGCGAAACTTTGAAAAGACTCCCAAGGATACATTGTAACTGAAACCTTATTAAAAGATACAGTAACCCACAGAAAGGAAAAGTAAAGAAAAGAAACAAGAAGGTACAGTCTGGGATCATTTGGTGATATAAAAAAAAAATTGGCATTGTTTTTTTTCTTTCTTTTTCTGTTTTTAGTTAAAGTCAATCAGGTGGTTGTTCAAAAGTGTTTAAAATGGTATCACTCCTGGAGGAATTGAAGATGAATCTTAAAAAACAGAAAGAAGATAAAGAAAAGGGAGGAAGATCTTTTGGCTTCATATTTGAATTTCTTGAAATGGAGATCCTGAACTATGAAAAGCAAAAGGAAAAGCTTCAAGAGCAAGAAGAAGGGAGGGATAAAGAAGAAGCCATTTTCAATGATCAAATAATGCAAAGTGTGGTAATAAGGGGAAAAGGGGAGAAAGGAGTTAAAAGTTTGAGATCAAAGGGAACAACCAAAAAGAAAAATAGTCTGAAAAGGAAGTATAACAGCAAGGAGAAGCAGAATTTTCCACAGAAGGGAAAATTTGAGAGGGAAGGGTATAAAAAAGGGGATGTGAAAAAGGAGGGGAAGATAGAAAGGGAAAGAACCCATGAGGGACAAAAGCAGGAAATAAAGAAAAAGGGGAAACGTACTAGGATTAAAGGTATTTGCTCGGCTAGAAAACACAGAGACAATGGCTAAATTAAGTTAAAAGTGAGGTTTCTGCAAAGGTACAAAAGATAGCGTTGTGAAAGTAGAATACTGTAATGAGTTAGAAATGAAATAAGTAAATAATCTATGAGATAAAATTGTATTGTTATGTAATGGTATGTTTATTTATAATTAATGCAATAATCAAGAAGAGAGAGAAACACTGTAACTGTTTCTAAAGATTGATAAAATATTGAAAAGAAATGTGAAAGATTTATAAGGAAATTTATACCAGTTACTAGAATGAATTTGAATAATTATTTTGCTTATTAATAGTAAATAACTTATAAGATAAAACTGTATGCCTATCCAATGGTATGCTTATTAACAGTTAAGTAATAACGAAGAAGGGAGGGAAATATTTCAACTGTTCTCAGAGATTGATAAATATTGAAAAGAAACGTGAAAGATTTACGAGGCTCATACCAGTACAAAAATGAATTTGAATAACTATTTTGTTCACTAATGTTTATATATATATTGTTTTTGCTATGTTTCTAGAATTTTTTTTTACATTTTTAAGGGGAAGTACCAAGCAGAGTCTGAATGATGAAATTTGCATGATATAAAATAGATATTAGAAATTTGAATGTTATAATTTTAGAATGCTCAAATTTAATGTTTAATGAAGTTTCATAAGATAATAACAATAAGACTTAAAGGTGTTGCATTCCGATTAGCAATCAGAGGGAATTTTGCTTTTTAAGAAGGTTGGAAGAGAACATAATGAAATTGTAAACAAGACAGACGAAAGTATAAGTATAATGAATAAAAAGATATAGAAATTTAGGTAAAAGAAATACAATTAAATAAGAAGAAAATGAGATAATCATAAAAGAAAATTAAGAGAAGTAAAGGGAGAAATAGTGAGAAGTTGGAAAAAGAGTAATAAGATATGAAGCTGAATATATAAGATGAATATGCATATGAAATTGTGTCTGTATGGAAATGTGATAACCCAGAACCATGCTGTACTCAAATAAGACGTTTTATTTGTTTTGTTAAAACTCAATAAAACTTTATTTAAAAAAACTGTGGTACTATGAGACAAAGTAAAGTTTGCAAGATGTGGAAATCAGACAAATTTTACTTAGATCATAAAACTATAGACTAATGAGAATTTTGTGATAAACAATGGTAATGCTGATTGGAATAATTAATCCCTATTAAAAATGGCAGGTAATTTAGTTAGTATTTAATGTTAAAGCAAAGAAACTACAGAAAATTTTGAATTTCTTTCTTATTCAATATGTGTATATATGTATTATAGGGAAAAAATCAGTTAAATATAAATACCACCTGTAATTTAGATGCTATAATTTTAAAAAACAGGCAATATTTTCCTTCTGCTAATTTGACATTCATACAGGTTTTTTAAAATTTTATTTCCACGTGCAACTTCAGCTATTTTGTAAACTATGGCCTATGCAGAATGCCTGGATTAGAATGCAGAATTATTAGAATGCAGAATTATGCAGAATGCCTGGATTATGTGATCTCATCATTGTTTTAAAGCAATTTTCACTTTGTGTGATGTAGTTGTTATAGAAGAAAAACATCTTTCCTGTACATTTCATAACATTCTGCAAAAAAGAACGGAATTGAGTATTTGCAACAGAAACCACAACCCGTTAGAGGTAGACTTCTATTCAGAGATAAACCAGGCTTTAATATTGGTTCGAGAGTGCAGGAAAGAGGGTATCAAAAGGAGAAAGGCACCGTCTCAGGAAAATCGGAGTATGTTATTTTGTTCCCCAAAGCATCAGACATTTGGAATGCCATGGAAGTAATGGAAATTCCATGTATCCATGTTTGACCTATAAGATAAAGGTGTTGCTGTACTTCAGGTTCTATCATTATTGTGGGGCATAAAGTCCAGAGAGTAACAGCTTTGTTGTTTCTCAAAAGGAGACCTGTCATTTTGTTCAGGTTTTTGGGCTAGAATAATGTATAAGTGTTGTATTTATATACATAAATAAATGAATTGATAAGTAATGGGCAGACAAGCAGCCTAATGTGCTATACACTGTAAATTTTATTAAAAATAGCACCATTGCTCCCATTTGCGGGCATGGGAGTTCTAGTCAAAACCTGTTCAAAGCATTTTTTATTTTCCAGTGGGCATAGTCTTATTGAAAGGCAATCAGTTACCAAAAGGGGATATTTATGGAAATCTGTTCTTATTTAATCAGTTAATTTCAGATTTGTAAACTTCTTCTGAAAAGATATTTTATTATTTTAATTGAATTCTGTAATATGTTACGTCATTATTTTTCCATTTGATAGTTAGGTGCTTACTTTGTAAAAATGCTTATGATGGCTCAATACTTTTCACTTCCTTTTTCCTTTTCCTTTAAAAAGTGGTTTTGACTATGTCTATATAGCATCTACACATACTTTTTCAGTTTGGCAGAGCATTTCATTTTTAAGATTTATGTCTTGATACAACTTTTATTGTATCATTTTTTAATTGAAAAGAAGGATTAGGGGATACATGATAGCAGTGTTCCAATCTCAGGGGCTGCCACAAAGAAGAGGGAATCAAGCTTTTCTCCAAAGTATCTGACGGCAGGACAAGAAGCAATGGGTGGAAACTAATTAAGGAGAGAAGCAGCTTAGAACGAAGGAGAAATTTCCTGACAATTAGAGCAATTATTCAGTGGAACAACTTGCCTCCAGAAGTTATAAATGCTCTAACACTGGAAGTTTTTAAGAAGAGATTGGATAACCATATGTCTGAAGTGGTGTAGGTTTTCCTGCCTAAACAGGGTTGGACTAGAAGACCTCCAAGGTCCCTTCCAACTCTATTATTCTATTCTATTCTAATTTTATTAGAACTTGCTTTGTTTCAAACTTTAGCTAAACTCACTGTCCCATTTATTCCTCAGCTATTTCAGTGAAACTATCCTATATACTCAGCTATCTTATATACTTTGGAATTGTTTTTACTTTTTTCCTCTTCCCATGTCCTTTTGTTATATATAATGACTTAGAAATCAATAAATTGAAATGTACATTGAAATGTTCATACATTTGTTAGGGTGGCACATTTCATTTTGATCCTTCATAGAGAGAAACAAAATCCTAAAGTAATCTGAATTGAGTTGGAACTGTGATGCTTTGTGCTCTGAAGCAATGTAGAGAGGTCATTTGCAAAAAAAAAAAAAAACAATGACTCTGTGCCCACTACATTTAATTTTTATTTCATGTAAGACCTTTGAGGAGAAGCGGAAAGAGAAAGGGAGATGTTTGTATTATAAGGAAATCTCTTTAGTAGCTCCCTGATCATTCTAGATGTTTCAGTTTCAAATACCCACATAATCCATTGGAGTTGGGTAGCTACTAAATTCATAGGAAGGAAAGGGAGGGAGACAGGTGTGAACTTGAATCACATTTTTTTTTGTAGTCATCCATTTTGTCCCAAAATAAAGCAAACTATTGGCTTCATTCTAAATCTCTTTAAAGAATTGAAAGAGTGCTGTTATCCAAAATTCTGTCACATATAAAATTGGATAGATTTCATATGCTCAGTAGTTCTATAGCTGTATATTTTTCTGTTAAAAAAGCTACAGCTGTTTGTGGATTTTCCAAGAAGTTTACAGAAAGTATAGAGATCTGATATACTGGTCTATTTCTTGAATTGCCAAATCAGATTAAATCCAAATATGGTCAGTGCCCATCACTTTTTCTAAATATTTCGATTCAGTACATAAGTATACAACTATGAGGTCATTGTAACTAGTCAAATGTGTGCTGAAAGCATCAATCATCAAATACTGCAGAATAAGTGATAAGTGAGTTGATGGTGATATATCCGAAATGCAGTTTTCATGAATTAGGACAATTGTGATAAAGGAATCTTGCTATTTATATTTCTTTTTCCATTGTACAATCTTTCTATAAATCAAACTCAATAAGAGATTCATATATAAAAATATGTTTAATATTGTAATGCTTCTAAATGACACATTTACAATATTTTATTGATATTATTTGCATTGGAAATTGTGCTATCATTAGTTAAACTATTGTGTAGGTTTTATAATACAAGAGTATTAGAAATAACTTTAAAATTCATTGAACAAAAACATATTTTTGAAACTATTGTAACATATTAATTTAAGCATTCATTTAATCTGCATTTTATTTTCTTTAATTTTATGCATTTGCTACAGAAATAGGTAGAAGAGATGTGTGATATAAAGTATGCAGCATTCACACTTTAGTTTTAATAAAGCCTTATTTGTCTTAATTCCCAGTTTATATAGAAATGGGAAGACTGAGTGCATTGTCTCTGCTGTATGCTTCTAGTGATAACAAGATAAATGATATGGACATTGGTCCTTGTGAGGAAGCAAATCACTGGTTCTGAGATACTAATGAAAACTAGCATCTCAGTAAAATGTTCCATATACTGTTAGTGGATATATTTAAACTAAATGTTAATGTATTTATATATTGAACTTCTTTAGTTATTTAAATATTTTTTTCAGTTGCGCTCGGCTCCAGAGTTCACTTTTATGATAATAGACTCTCTATTTACTGCAACCTATATTCCATCCCATTTTCAGAAACATTGTATGGATTAATATCTCTAGACATCATGAAAGAACTCTCTTTACTAATGACAGGCCAGGAAATTAAACCTCTGACTTTGAAACCTTCAGTCTGTCAGGTTTTCTGTCCAATTCGTGTCTTTTTGTTTGTCTCCATGGTTTTTGTTTCAGCCATCTTTTTTCTTTCTTTCTTTTTTTCTTTTTGTCTTATTCATCTTTAATTCTAGAGCAACCAGATAATACTAATGACACTACTGAATCGGGCAACTTTGTTATACCCGAGATTAGTGTCACAAATGTGGCTGGAGAGAGAACCAGGAATGGGGAAAAAAACAGAATGCCAGGAGAGAGTGATCAACATATTCAGGGTGTACAGGAAATTCCTACAGAGCCTAGAGTTGACAGCAAAAGCTTGCCAGAGATCAGGAGGCAAAAATCTGTAAGAAAAATTATGGAGGATGGAATAAGCTCACCTGGCAGAATGCAATTTTAGCAGAGCACTTTGTAGCTACATTCAAAAGGTATCAACTGAAAGGGTCATGGCTGCATGTTTTAAAGATTTTAGTAATCAACAATAGACATCTGCATGTACTTTTAGTCAAACACAATTGCATGCTTTGCACATAGAGCTGATCTCTGTGCTCCACATATTGATAGCATACTGACAACAAATAGATTTATCTTAGCTTGGGAAACCACACTGGCAGATTTCAAATTTCATTAACGTTAAACTTGGACTTTTTAGTTCTGAGTCATTCCAGCATTTTTATTTTACACATTTGAAATAACCCTTTCTTTCAAGTGTATATAAACAATATCAATTTATTTTAATGTTTTCCCATCTGTTACAATGATGATTCCAGAATCATTACTAAATTTAACTCTTTAGTACAGAATGTGGCCATTCAGCCCTTTAAATATGAAACACAATTGGATTTGCTAAAAATGTGAGCACCTGCAGGTGATGCCCTATTGGCTGTTCTGCTGTTCTGATTATCTGTTTCCATGATTATTTTGCTGTCTGTAGTACGTAGATACCTTGCTCATACATAGGTTTATTCCTCTTTCTAGCTGTTATAGACCTAATCTCTTCTGAATCTTGCATGAATAACAGGCGCTTAAAAAAAAATCACCACACAATGAGATTGTAAGCATGCTTTGTTTCTTTGTTTTAATTTCATGTAATATATTACATTGATATAATAGATGAGCTTCTTGTCTGAAATCTTTTGCTTTGTGCTTGAATAGAAAGATCTATCAAGAACCAATGAAATATATACAGTGTTCTGTCTCCATACAGGTAACGAATTAGGAATTCCAGAAGAAGAATTAATAGAAGTATCTGAAGTTGATGAAGGTTTTTACTCTAGAGCTACTTCTACTACAAGTCATTCTATTTCATCAAAAAGTAGCAGCAACACCAGTAATAAAACTATAATGGGCAAGAGTCAACGAAGGCTTGGAGGAAACAAAGTTGGAGGAAAAGAAAAAGATATCTGTGCTGAATCCTACAAAGAACATTTATCTCACAAACAAAATCAGAGGGCATTAAGTGAAAATCTAGAGCTCCTCTCTTTAAAAAGGCTGACTCTAACCAGCAGCCAATCCTTGCCAAAATCAGGAAGTCATAGCTTGGCTAGAACTAGCACTACTCTTTTTAGTAAATCCTTTGAGCAGGTCTGTGGTGGTGTGATCCCAAGTAATCATAATGGCACAGAAACAAATAGGCTTTCAGTGTGCAGTTTACAAGAAGGAAATCTGATATTTGAAACTGAAAGAATAGACCTTACAGTTCCAAACAAACAATCTAATCAGCAGCGACTACCTACTATCAGCATTACTATCTCAACAGACCAATAACCTCCCAACTAATGTTGCTGTGTAGAAGAGGAGCCATTCAATGATAGTACTGCATGTTAGGATCCCTCAAGCTCTTTTTTTTAGTCAACTAAATTGCATCAAGTTACCATATTTTTCAGACTATAAGACGCTCTGAAGTATAAGACGCACCTAACTTTTGGGGAAGAAAACAAGAAAAAAAAAATCTGCCTCTGCCTCCCAAAAATTTGTTTCCTTGCAGCAAACAACCTGGTCAGCTTCAGCACATCCTGATTAGCACAAGCAGCTGATTGTTGGTGGATCGGCCTCCGGGCAATCAATCAGCTGTTTCAGGCTGCAGAGATCGCCATCACCGCCTCCGCATGCCACATTTTCAGCCTCCACACCCAGTTTTCGGTCTCTATGCCTGTTCCAGGCAGGGATTGGAACAGGCTGAAAATGGGGTGCGCGGAGACCGAAAACAGGATGCAGAGGCCAAAAATGGGGCATCCGGAGGTGGCAATGGCGATCCCTGCAGCCTGAAATAGCTGATCATCGGGAGGCAGATCCAACCGACAATCAGCTGCTTGTGCTAATCAGGCTATGCTGAAGCTGACCAGGCTGTTTGCTGCAGAGGCAAATTGCTGGGAGGCAGAGGTTGAAGGATGGGGGCTGGCAAGTGGGCAGGGCTTCGGCAACATTAGCTCTATAAAATACACAGCCATTTCCACACACTTTTTTTTTGGGGGGGGGGAGTGCATCTTATACACTGAAAAATATGGTACTTGTTTTACAATAGTATAACCTAAATTCTTTCAGTGATTAAATGTTAAAATGGAATAGTATGGATAATTCTAGTAAATACAATATTGATGTTTTCATATGGATAAATTTAGGAATTAATTTGCTCAGCAGGTAAATTGTATTGAAAAATGAATGTGTCATAGACCTCTATCAGATGAAATCTTTGGTATCACTGCTATTTCTGGCTGCTGGAATTATTTTAGTCATTATTAGATGTGATTTAGAATTGGTTTGCCAGTTCCATACTTAAAAGCAAGAACCTTCTTTCTTAGGCACCCTGATACAGGTCAGTTTAAGTAGCAGCTGACATTTGGAAAACAATATTCAGATCTCTATTCAGTACACAATGTGGTATAAAAAAAATTAATGTGTCATTATTGTGCCACTATTTTCAAATTGTAACTATGAAAATAGCTACAGTATTCCAATATATGCAAATCTTTTCTGCCCATAGTAACAGCAGTTAATATTTTACAAAATACACCATCTACTGTACATATATTAATATTTTCTAATGCTATGAAGAGAATATTTATTTTTACCTTTCCCATCATCTTAGATCTAGACAGTTAATACTCTGCACTGGTCTATCCTAATATGATTGATCCAGCTGCCAAAGGTATATTTGCTGTCACATTTAAACCATGACTAAAATGAGTGCAATTCATTGTTTATATTAATTTGTATGTACAGGAAGTATTGGTGTTGTAAAACTGTTTTGGGCTTAGAATATGGGTGCCAAACTCACGATGTCACATTATCACGTGATATATTGTGACTTTCCCTTCCTTTGTTAAACCGGGGGTAGGCATGATCAGTGCATGTTGTATCTGACGTATGAGCTGCAAGTTTGACACCCCTGGCTTAGAATATACAGTAGATCTTGGCATAGTGCACAAAGAGATCAGTTGGAAGAGACGAAAGGTATTCATCTTCATTTGGGACAGGCTACAGTTCTTTTATAATGCCAGTGAATTCAAAATGATTAGGATGATAGTTATTTTTGGGTGTTAAGAATTTATAAACCAACCTAAGAAACAACAATACAATATTTGCTTCTGAAATTCAACAGAGATATTAATCTTAAATATTTTAGCATTTTTAAGAATAGTGTGGATTAGAATTATTTTTTATTTTACTCCTTGCATCAAACTGGTTTTAAAATTGCATCACATTTAAATCGTAAGCTTTACATTATATGGGAAATAGGTCATGACGATTAACAGATGATACAATATTTTGGAAGAAAAAGATTTAGTTTTGTTTCCTTAAAGTACAGCCTGGCATTTTTATTTTTGCATAGCCGTATTGATAATTTCCCTAAATTTGCACTCTCCTTCCCCTCTGGTTTTAGCTAATTAGTTTATAACATCTTCTGGGGGATTGAAGAATGTATATGAACATTGGCATCACATTCTAGTGCTTCCTAAATGTTCATGAATCTTTGAATCCTAGTGCAAGAGTAACACTGCTTATTTTTATTCCTCCCACCCACTGCTTTTTGCAGTTGCTTTTCAACCAAAACACTTTCTAACAAAGATTTTATACTTCTGTTTTTAAGTAAGAAGCAGCTTGATAGACTGTTTTTATATTAACTGTACCATGTACTTAGAAATTCTATTTGTATTCAAAGAGAGATTTTTCAAATTTCCAGAGACCCAATTTTTTAAATAAATAGTTGATTCTTTTTGGCAATTGTTTGTATTTGACATTTTTGGAAACTTTCCATTTTCTGAAATAACTGAAATTTAAAATGGACAAAACCTAACTAATTTTATGAAATCTCTGGGATGTTTATTATAACAGTATTAATTCATCCTTACACAACTTTCTACATATTTTATGGTTTACTAGCATTGTATTAAACATTTATTTTGAATAATTAGTTTCTGTGCAGGAATATACAGCCATTGTAGATGAAAGCTATTTGAATTTATCTTATAGTTCATTATTTAAAATTCCACAAGATGGAAGTAAAATATTTGTAGTACTAAAGGTTTAGGACTCTAGAAAACATTTTTGTTTTGAGTAAAAACAACTTTTTATACATTCAAATAATTTAGAATTTCCCCAAAAGATGATGGAATAAAACATCTATAAATTTAAGTTGCTTGAATAGTCTTTGAACAAGCATATGTACAGCTATCTATTCCACCTGGTAATAATACATATATAAATGTATTGTACGTATACATAGTTAATTACATTTATGCACAATCAAAATTGAAAGAGTGAAAACCCAGAAAATATGAAATTCATACAAAATGCACAGTAGAGTGATACTAATAAAATGTTTCTCATAACTTTGGAAAAGCACAATGTATTGAAATATTTTAGCAGAATATTAATGAGGTATTCATATTTTGATTGAGTGCAATATATGATTTTTTTGTGATTGACATTCTTGGTTTTCATATGTTAAACTGAAAATGAAGTAAACTCTTCTGTGGTACAGTAACTGTAGGTTTTTGTAAAGGTCCCTTTCTATTTATTGAATATATAAATTAGTTCTGTGAATTTTTCAACAAAATTGCAATTTACAAGGATGAATACCACTTAACAAATTATTAACAGTATAAAACAACAAAATGTGCTAACCACTTTTACAGTATACATTTGTGACCATATCCTGTTTTAATAACCAGGTGTTTTCTGTATTTTACTAAATGAACTGTTTAGTTCAAGTTTGTATTTCCATGATAAAACTATCACCTTTAACATTGATTTAGTTTGTAAATATTGTTTTTAGTTACTGAAATAGTTTACATTGATGATGAGATGATGATGATGTAAGTACCTGCCACATTGGATTTGAGCAGTATTGGAATTGCAAATGGTGATAGAGTAACTCACTTAGTCATGATCTCAATAAAAATCAGTCCTCTGTTTTTGTTTGCTTATTTTATCCATGGCTTACACTTTATTGTTTATTTTATTCCTATCCCTCTTCAGGTGCCAGAACAAAATAATAACTAAAAAGTAAAAATTATAATCAACAATAAATTAACCCTATTTTTAAATACTAGATACAAAAAAAAATCAAGTTAAAAAAAGTTAAAAGTTTAATTAAAGAAACAGAAAAAAGAAATAGGCAAATTGAAATAGTTATTCCATAAATCCCTAGTTTAATAGGCATGTCATTTCCTCCCCATTAACTTTTCTTGTCAGATGATTACATGACTCTTGGACACTACAATTGTTATAAATACATGCCTAGTTGCCTAGTGTCCAAATTCTGATCACATGATAATGGGAATTCTGCAGCATTCATAATTTTTTTTCCAGTGCCACTGTAATTGAGCTATCACTAAATATATGATTACAAGTTGAGGACTACCTGTATTAGAAGGTGATCTTTTAAATAGCTGGGACTAAATGTTCTTTTACTTTACCTTCAACTATATAATAAATACATAATCCAGTAATTATTTATTACTCAACAGAAAGTTCAAAAGAGAAGTCTCAGCTACTAAGTTAATTTACTGGATGCACTTAATACAAAAGGAAATGAAGAAAATGAAAGAACCTGCTTTGATCTGACAATTGTTTTTTCCAGAAATTTAAAATATTAATATATTGCTTATATGAATAAGGTAATATTTCTAATACTGCTTCTCCTTTTATAAAATCTCAGAGTAATAATAAAATTATCCTCTCCATTCCAGTTTATACATGTAATAACATTCTTGCATTTTTGTAATTTTTATTGACTATATTGGTTTTTTTTTAGTATACTATTGGAACACATACACACAACACACACCTTGAATTTTTTTGTAATTATGAATGTATAGAGTTCTTTGGAAAATTAATCAGAGTTTAATTCAAGTCTGCCCTCCAGTGTCCCCCAAATAGTTGCTTAGCGATAAATAAAAATATAATTCTATCAATGAAATCAGCTAACCAACGTTACTTTCTAAATCTAAAATATCTGGTGTATATAATACTACAGTTAGGAGATACATGTTAAAACTATTTGCATTCCTCTAGCAAGATTGCCAAATACTATAATTTCACTAAAGTAACTGATGAACATTCAAAATTCTTAACTACAATAGATATAAAAAGTCTACATACTCATCTGTTAAAATGCTAGGCATTTTAGATGTAAAAAAACCAGACCAAGATAAATCACTTAAGACTTTTTTCCATCTTTCATATAATACATAAGCTATACAATTCAATTGAAAAATTAATTGAAATCTTCGGGGGGGGGGGGGGAATAAGAAACTTACAATAATATGGTTCCATAAGTATGCTTCGAAGTAGAGATGTGGCTGTGTATACACCTGCTGTCAATTAGTAACCAATCAAGCCATATAAAGTTCAGCTGTTCTAGCATTTTTCTGACATTTACTCAGTTGCCTCTTGGAGCAAAAGCCATGGTCTTCAAAGAGCTTCAAACAAAGCATCAAAGGAATCTTCACTGTTGGAAGGTATCCATTAGGAGAAAGGTACAAAACAGTTTCCAAGGCATCAGATATATCATGGAACACAGTGAAGACAGTCATCAATAAGTACAGAAAATATGACATAACTGACATTATGTTATGACAGAACTGAATGTTCCTCCAAAATTCATGAAAACTCCCCCCAAGAAAACTGGTCGAGGGCTGGCAAGCTTACAGTAACGTTAAAAAAGTTGCAGGAATCTGTGGCAAATA